TTTTCATGTGGTACTCTCCCCTACCATTGCTATGATGACTACCCTCTTGGTGGCTCTCTCAACACTTAGTGCCTATGTCGGTTTTATGATGGTGGAGATGTCATAGTCTATGAAGGCAACATGATGGCTTCATGAGCCTAATAAGTTTGGTGATAATTATAACATATATATAAGAAATTATGAGCCTAATATATTGAAGTACAAAGAAATAAACTACTATGTGCAGTAATGATATGTGTTCTCTAAGCTTGATTTTAGGATCAAGTAGAAATGAGAAACGAGGAACATATCAAACACTCAGTTCTATGGTTCCCATTGGCTATCATCCATTGTAGTTAAATAAACTTATTGATTAGAGAGAATGCCCATCCTCTTTATTCTCTCACCAATGTAAGATCATTGCTGGAGTACAAAATATTGAGGGTAATATTATAATTTAACTATAACAAACAAAGTTTATGAGAGAGTGATAGATCAAAAAGGAAAAGAAATAAAACTCTTACAAGAAGAGTAGAGACATTATCTCTATGCAAGCTATGAATCAATTTGTTGACTCTAAAATTAGATGAATTTGAAAATGGCTTTAAAAATGAGGAATGTAATGAAAATCATCAATGCATAGCTTTTGTGCATTAGAGAGTGAAAGCCTTGACAACACTCTTGAAGAGAAGATTCATGTTTTGACATATAAAAATTGGTAAATATTAGAGAAGCTTAGGAGACTTCTACTTTATCAAATGGGGGACTATTAGTTTATGTGTGTGAATCTATTTTCATCAGGCCATATCAACATCATCATCTTTGAAAGGGTGTTGTTGAAAAATTAATTATGGAGTCACATTCTCTTCTTCATCCCTATTGAGCATGTTAGTGAATAATAAGTAATAATCAAATGTATTTGTGACATTCTCTTCCTCAACCCTATTTGTAAAATACTACATTGAATCAGATGTTAGTGAATAACAAATTTTTCATGTCTAGGACTGATGAACTTCTAGTTGAATTGCTATTTTACATAGTTGAGCTTCAAGAAAAATAATTTAGAATGAAGTTTTAACCTTATACTTTGTGTTGGCCAAAATTATATATGCACAATTGATAATCTATCTTTTAAGATTAAATGAAATCTAGTTTTGTATTTGCTCTTCAAAATTGTCTTTTTTATCATATCCTTATTCACAGCCAAAATTATAATTAATAATCAAACCACTTGAAAGAGAGGTTTTTATCAATTGAGTCAAGAAGTAGAAGCTCTAATTAAGAATTTGAATATTTGAGGCATTTGATTAATTTATATGGTTTTGAGATTGATTAGAAAATAAAACATCAACATGGAAATTATATTTTGAGGCATGTGATCAGTTTGCATTGTGTTGACATTAATTTTAAAAAAACCAACTTGGTGAGATGGAAAATTTTGATTAATTAGAATTCATTAAAGAGATTTTTGGGCCTAATTGACTATTAATAGAAGATTATTAAAAGTTGTGAGCAAAGTTTTCTACTTTTAACTTAACTCTTAAGAGAAAATGATATTATGTGGGATGTGGAGGTTTAATTGGCCTTGGATAAACTTCAATGGGTAACTTCTATGAATATATTCCATCTCTTCATAATCTCACCATTCCTTTCAAAATGAAATTTTATGCTTTGAGAAGTTTTAAGGTGAGAGCTGTCTTGAGGCAAGAGGAAGAGCTTTGGCTTGTCAAAGTTAGGCCTTGGAAGATAAGTATCATTTTTCATCAACTTACGAAAGGGAGATGTATTCATTAATCTTGGTTGATTAAAATTAGTTGTCTAATCACTTGGGACATAATTCAATAAAAGAATTGATCAACAAAGCTTAAAGCTTATGGTGGAGCAAAAGATTCATGCTCTAACTCAAGGAAAAATTGTTGACCAAATTATGGGGATATGGGTTTATAACATAACACAAATTTAGGAAATATAAAAAGGATATAGATCTTTTATATATAGAATGAGGTACTTAGCCTTAGGCTATGGTGTCTTGTAAATTATTGTGTATTAGTTAAATAACATTAGAAAAAAGTATTAACCTGATTGAAATTTACAAGTTAGATTAAAAAGTTATTTTTTTATAATATAATTAGTACAAAAATATTATTATAACCTAAAGCTATCTAATGGTGCATTTTAATTTTTTATTAGTACACAAAGACTCATTTCTAAAGTAGAAAATATTGTTATAACCTAAATCTTAAACTTAATTCATTGAGAATCGAGTGGTGTGATATTATTATTGATTCCCAATGTGTAGTTACATATGAGAAATCTACTATAAGAATGATGTTATTCATTAGATTTCAAAACATACTTATTAAATTCATTCTAGTAGGTGAATTCTTTGTTAAATTAGTGATAGTGCATGGTACGTAATTGAATCTACTATCACAAATAGAGATAAAATATTTGTCTATTATTTCTTGGGCTGAGTTACATAAATTTCAAAGGAAGCCAATTTTTCTAGAGTTGTGTTTGCTATCCGTAAACTAACAATCAAATGGAAGTCTTAAATGGTGTTGCTTTAGCACTGCTTAACATTAAACTACTTAGATGACTCCATTATAGTCTTCCATCATTTAAAGGGACTTGGATGCATTCTTTGTGACTCAAAAGCTCTTCAACCTATTTATCAATTAAAGGGAGGGGGGAGGGCACAATGTGTGAGAAAAAAAGAGGTGAGGAACAGAAGAATATATTCATGGCTGAAGTATAGGCAAGGAGACCCATAGAGAATGCATTCATGGCTCTCTCTCTCTCTCTCTCTCTCTCTCTCTCTCTCTCTCTCTCTCTCTCTCTCTAGACCTCTACCTAGTTAATGGTTTCATGCTCTCAAACATTATTAGGAGGAATATCAGATTACAACATGAGATCTCTAGCCGCATAGGGGATTAACATGGGATTGGAGATGACCTTGTACGACAAATAATCTATAGGGTAGTTCTCAAGCCCCTAAGAATAATCTCATTCTAAGAAAAAAAAAATCTCATTCCATTGACTTTTGGTCCACAGGTCCATTGAAACTAAGGGCAGCTAATTTGTAGCCCTTTGACCACAAGATTAACTTGTGATTGAAGGTAACAAAATAAAAAGAGTTCATTTGAAAATCCATTATTTTGACAGGGAATTTAGTCAATGCACAAAAAACAATACATTGCAGTAGAAGCATGGCATAAAGAACTTGAAGCTACAATAAACCTAATAAAGCCTCAATATTATATGATAGGATATGCATAGTTTATATGATTATAGTTTAAATCCCTTAATGAAAGCATATATTTGATGTAAATATGTTTTCTATGTGAATTTGTATTGTTTATTGAATTACATACAAAAGTATTAAATTCTATATCTTTTATAACATGCATATTCTAATGAATCAAAAGTTCTTTTTGATGTAATGTTGGGTATTCTAATAGATGAAAAAAATATATTTACATGTAGGGAAATTAGAAGAGGGTAGTTTAAATTTTAAATAGATTCTCTACATTTGTTTTAAGTGTTTAATGAGTTGACCAGCAGACCTATTATAGTTGGCCTACTAAGAGGCCGCATACCAGCCCATTCTAATGGGGGGTATTTAAAGCGAGAGAGAGGAGAGAGGAGGAAGCACGTACGATCAGAGAAATTAGGACTAACTCGTGAAGAGAAGATGGAGGAGGGCAATGACTAGAAGAACAGAAAATCATGGCAGCGATAACCACGATGATGACAGCAACAGCAACATCGACGATGACAGTGAGTCCCATTCTATGCGACAGGTAGAGAAGGGGCTGAGCACGACAGTGGTGGCACCCACGATGGTGGCAATAATAATAGTGATGACAACGATAGTGGTTGTGAACTCTTGTTTTACGTGACAGGTAAAGGAGGAGACAAGTATGACGATGGTAGCACTCACAACGGTGACAATAGTAGTGGTGGCAACAATGGCACTGGCTGCAAACTCTTATTTTGCATGATAGGCAAAGGAGGAGATGAGCATAATGACAACGGCACTCACCATGGTGACAATAGTAGTAGTAGCAACAACGATAGTGGTTATAAACTCTCATTTTGTGTGATAGACAAAGGAAGAGATGAGCACAATAGTAGCAGCAATAGTGACGACAATACACTCTCAACAATAGCAATAATAACATTGGTTGTGAACTTCTTCACTATGGGACAAATAGAAGAAGAGTCAAACACCACAACAACAACATCCACACTCTCAAGCTTCAAATTGATTGTTTTAATTTATGCGTGTATTTCGTTCTATATTTCTTTTTCTTCATGAATGTTAACAAGTTTAATGCTCCGCTAATAAACTAACTATTGACAGAGGCATTTTCACCTCTATCATTTTTCACAGACTCATAATATTGCTCTTTCATTTCTATGTTTTTAACTTCATCCAAACACAATAAAAAATATTTGTGGATCACATTATACCAAGTTTTTCTTGTGGATTGACACAAATCTACTATAGATTATAAATAATCGAATTTATAATTTTCAGAGATTTGCTTTTAATAAATTCTAAAATTGATTACTTCTTAAAACGACGACTAAAGTACCATCAAAACCTATCCCAAAAGTTTGGAAGGAGTAAAGATAATTTTGGAATGAGAAAAAAAAACCCCACTAAAACACAACACAAAGCAACGAGTTTCTTAGTAATACACAGATCATATGATTGACTAAAGTGAATTTTTTTATCAAGAGCCACACCCAACCAAGCCAACTAAGTACTCAAAATCTGGGACAGTGGAGGTAATAATTTTTAAAACAAGGCCAGTTTAATGTTGATACCAACAGCCATGTCTCATCCCGCACAGAGCAAGTTTCCCAGAATGGGAAGAAAAAGAAGGGAGGGGGGTAATAAAAAGACTGGTCAACCAAGAGACTGGTGCATCTAAAAAAAACTCCTAAGTCATACCTCTCTCTCTGTCTCTCTATCTCTCTCTCTCCCCTCATACCTGCAGACTTAGACTGATTCACTGGGATCCTGAGCTGTGCGGCCGTGGAGGTGGGGGAGGTGGGATCCCGATATTCCCTGCAAGGCCCAATCCAGGGGCATGGGCTACATGGGAATCCACCGACACCGACTGAGTCAACCAACAAAAAGATGACAATCCAAGAGTCAGCAGGTGTACATGTCTCTGAAGGGGGTTGACCGTGTCGGAAAGTCAATTCTTCATACCTGGTAAGCGTTAATTCCAGCCATCTGCCCCCCCTGCGGCCTGCTCAACATGCCCCCCAGCTGAAAGCTAGTGAATCCCGCCATTGCAGGAGGGACGCTTCCCGATGGGTTTAAGCCGATCATATGTGCCTGAGAGAAGGAATCATGAGAGGAGAGCTGATGGATGGCCTACCATTAATGGAGCCAGAGAAGAAAGAAAAACCCACACTTACCATAGAATTTGGCAGCGACATTGAGGTCGGCAAGGGCCCAGGAACAGAAGAAGTGGCTCGTGGGAGATGGGGATGGGGGAGAAGGGGCAGATGGGAGGAGGGGGGCTGGAGCTGCGACAGATTTGGAGGGGGGAGAGGGAGAGAGAGCATCTGCTGGGGAGTTTGCTGGAAGGGTTGCTGCTGGGTGGAGGATAACAGGGAGGGGTGAGGGCCAGGTGGGAGAGGAGGTGCAGCACCGATGGCCAGAGTGGAGTGGGGGTGCCTCTGGTCTCCTCCCTGATCAGATCCATCGTGCGAAGGCATGGACAGAGGCATGGCCACTCCCACACCAGGAATGGTTCCCTCATTTCGGGCAGCGCCAAACGGGCCAGGTGTTGTTGGATGTTCGGGGATGGGGTAGCCACCGACTGTACGACCAGTGAGAATTGAGCTGCTATCTCCATAACCTGGGTAAAAAGACGTCAGAATCCATTATAAAGTAATGATCAGACTCAATGGTGGCAGGATAAACAAAGATAAAATGATTGGATTAAGATTGAAGGAATCATTTGTTTCTAAACGGGTTACCTTGGGGATAGCTGACACCCTGCTTGTCTCTACAGGGATCTCCCGGCCTGTTTCTGCACCAGAATTTTGTTGTTTGATCGTGGCTACCACTGCAGGAAGTAGAAGATCGGTTTGCCATGATTAATGATGAGCACATTACTGATTGGGTAAGAGGGAAAAAGGAAAAGATGAAATTAATATATCAAACAAACTTGTTGGTTGCAAGTTTCAACACAGAGGAGATTTGCATGCGATTTAAGAAAAGCTAGCAGATGATTTGCCATAACTAGCTATAGACTGATCAGCTCCAAAGTATTTCCCCGAACAGAATAACTACTTAAGTAGCTATCATCAGACAGCATTCATGCCATGATTCTCATGAAAAGTTTTATTTTTTAGCAGAAGGTTTCTAGTGCGGGGGGAATTTATGAAAGCTCCGGTTCCAAGATGCAGGCCTTGATCAAATTCTTTCGAAGCTTTGAGAAAACCATTATCAACGTGATCACAGAGATGAGATGAAAAAATAAAAAGCACTAATGGGAAAATATATAACTTTGGATTGCAAGCAGAGATGTGTTCCTTCCCCAACGGAGACAGAAACAAGATGAACGTGATATTTTACCAAAAACAGCACATAAAATGATGGCTGAACAAGATCACCTGCAAAGAATGTAGCCAATTGGATGCCAAGCCAGATCCCAAACACTCCCTTCATGCGCATTGGGAGATTCAACCTGAGGAACTTCATGCCTGAAACCAGATTGTTATATCCCAATAATGGGCTTCAAAGTTGGGAAGGAAACCAAACTTTCAAATAATGAGAGAATTGTAAAACACCAGGTTAAATCACAATGTAAATAAGACGTTAATTTCATTCATTGTCTAGCATTCAACATCATTTGATCTCGAGGTCAAGTAGCCTGAAGAGATAAAGAAAATCAGACACTAGTTGACTTGCATAGCACAGATGTTGTATGAAAAATGGACCATTTGAAGTGGTTGGATTGAAAAACTATACCAACAATTATAAAATGTATTACTGATAGAAGGGAAGACGGTGAGGGGGAGAGAACCAGGGAAAATATGGCAACCCCCTATTGATTTATAACTAAGGTAAACCCTAGAAAGACATCTGCAAAAATACCCCCGTTGCAAGGAGCACTAGGCATAAAGCATAACTGGCAATTAAAGAAAGAATTAAAGACATAAATGTCCTCATGTTCTGTACAGATTTGAATGCCTATCATTGTTTGGCGAAGAATATAAATAATGAAGATTCAAGAAATATTTCTTCAATGAGAAATGGTGCTTTGCGCAAGGAAAAGTAGGTTACCCAACAATCCAATGAAAGATGGATCCATCAAAACTTCCACTGACAAAATATTCTTCATGAAATGGATGCCAAGCCAAAGCTAGAAAGACAAAAAAACGGGATCAATGAAGATAATAGTAAATACCAACAACATAAAACAGCTTGAATAAACCATATGCTCGTACAATTTTTATGATGTTATTCGAATTTCAGATGCACTATTAAATCCAATTTTTTAAAGGATTGAGTCCTGTTAAGCCTAGGAGGCATCAAAAGGTTATCTTAGATGAACGAAAAGTAACGAAGCATGAAGAGACACCCTTAACGACAAAGAAGGAAAGGGGCGCTGAAGGAAATGGAGCAATACATTGAGGAAGTTACGATACTGATAAAACTTGGAGAAGGAAAGAGCATGAGTCTAGGACGTAGATACCAGAGGAACAAAAGGCATGTGTTAGAGGATCGGGAGCAAGAGAATGAGGAAGTCAAGAGATTGCCAGAACTTGTAGAAAGAAAAAGAATGACGGAGTCTAGAGATTGTTACAACTTGTAGAAAGAAAAAGAATGAGGGAGCTTATAGGGTAGAGATTAGAAGAACGAATAGGGAGGAAGGATGATGATGTCTTTAATGTCCTAGCAGATAGTTTTACAAAATCCAAGCAAGAAGTATCAAAGAGGAAAATAAAATGATCCTATGGAATGAGTCCTTGACGAGAGCTTTATCCTCTCTTTTATGTTTTCGATGTTGAGGAGCTTATTCAATGTGACCGAAAATAAAATGTTTTGAGTTGAATTCGAGGGTTCCAAACTGACCAGCACAGACTTCAGGTTTCCCACCTTCAGAATGGTGAGGACACCACTCCATATTCAGACGAGGAACAACTGTGTTCTAAGGCTCCTACGATAAGAACTACGAGATGCAACTAAAAAAACTAGGGTAAAGTGGGCTGGAATATCAATAGTGGAAAGGTCATGACGGCTATATATTCAACAAGTAATTGCAAATTTTGGAAAACATAGCCAGATGAATTATGGTGGGGAGATCATTAACCAGAATTACAAATGAACCTGATGAGTGTAGAACCTTCAGCCCACTATGGCCAGGTATTCAAGAAAGGGAGAAATATTTTTTAGGGTAGCGACATGCTAGAGGGATTTAGGGTGTTATGTTTCAAAAACAGTCAGAGAACATTATTTTGGAACGACCAGTGCCATGTGAAGCCATTCTATCAAGATGATTTCATATTCTTTCAAAGCACGAGAAGATATTCCAACAGGTTAATGTTTGTGCACAAGATTTAGAAGGAATATCCAAGACGAAGGTATCAATCAGTTTGTTGGTCGCTTTCCCATACTCATTAGAGAACCGTTGAAACAATCAAAAGGTGGATTCTTGAATGTGGAAAACAGGAAACAGAGACAAGTTTACAATTTAGTCAGCCTATCTTATTATCAACGATGGTGAAATAGGGGAGAAACAAAAGCCCATATGAAAGCTCTATCAGTTTCAAAAGCAGTTGATTCTAGTTTATTTAATGGCGAATTGCAGATCAGTAAATACCCAAAACACAATAAATGAGGACAGTTAGTTTCGTTGTGTTTATTCATAATGATATCCTGATATGACAGTGCCTCAAAACAATGGCTAGGACCAAAAGGTGGATAGGATGATACAGAAGAGAGCGCAATGAATAATACTTCTCTTTTCACTGTTCAGGATACCTATATTACCTCACCAGTAAATGATTGAAACACACTGAGAGAAAGTAACAAGAGAAGAATAATGTCACCAGTTTTTAGACAGAAGACTAGGCAAGACAGATTGTTAACTACTTTTTGGAACTTTTCTGTAATCTTTCATTTACATCTTTTCAACCAAAACGTCACAGACTAATGAACATCCAATAGTAATTCTCTGAATTTAAAGGGGGTGATGAATCCCAGCATTGCATCCGTGAAAAGAATATCAAGCCAAATATAGCCAACTACAACCTTCATTCAGCATCAATAGTAAACCGTCCCACAAACACATTAAGGCAGCATCATCGAAAATCAGAGAAAACATTTCTCTATTGTTCAGCCAAATCTGGTAGACCTTACACAAGTAGGAGGCACTTCAACAATACCAAAGGTTTCTTCCAGCCTCAGAAATTTCTCCCTGTTCCAGACAATGACAACCTTGCTCTAGGAGAAGCGTAGCATCTTAAGATGCAGGTGAGTAGCTAATATATTGGTCCTCACTATAAAACAGCTTTGATCAGGCCTACCTTTCTAGACCTTGAATACAATTTCACTGACCATAAATACTAATGCTTTAACACTTGGCATGCAATCTATTTGAATCATTAACTTTTCAAGCAAAAATCTAACTTATTTCCCATAGATATCATCCGCCATAAAAGTAGAACTATAAGAATCAATATTTACACAGCTACATAAACCAATTTTCAATTGTTTTTCATATTATATGCCAAATAATATATAAACCATTAAATTACACTGGATTTGACAGAATATTCATCCAATCATCAGATATATTATTTAACTGCATAAAGTCTTCAACAGGCGCCATACCAACAGAAAATTCGACCTTTCCACCTTACGTCACCCCGAATTTCTCAGTTCATACAAGGTTGCCATTCACTTTCTACTCAGCCTTCTAACATGCGTGAAATTAAATAACTGAGAAACAGATAAATTTAGTAATAAAGATCACTAACCCGTTACATCCTTACGATGACCACGGAAGGACTCCAGTTCTTTCATGGCTCTAATATCATAAAGCTGAAATTCATCAGAGAGAGTATTCAACAAAAAGGTGAAATTACAGAAGTTGAAAAGAAACCGGAAAAGTGATAACAAGAATTCACGTTAAGCAATAGTAAAACATCTATTGTTGTGCATAGATGCCATCGCTTGATGCTGGCATTGTGAACATCACAATACTTACTACATGAAAACAATGCACTTAACCAGTACATTGTATATAATTTAGTTTCTCTACAGCAAAACGAAATCTAACTTTGTGAAAGATAACATTTACTGGTATTAGCCTCACATCATCAGAAAATATAGCACTGATTTTGTGTATTCAACAAGAAACTTTTCGGTTCACCTGTTCGGAAACTGGTGCCAATGGTGCCATAAAGAAATTGATTGACCAGTGAATCAAAACCTTATTGATACAAAAACAGGCACACTTGACCATGTTAACAGGAGTTAGATTCCTGAATTAAATTACCAATTGGTTCTGGCTTCTGAATTAAGTGAAAATTGTGGAGACGGCTGTTTCGGTTAGCCATATAACCATTTCTGCTCGCGGGTTGGTGATGGATAACTCAAGGACTTGGTGTAAAATACATACCAAGGGAACAGTGCATTATGTCTTGTGATTGTGATTCACTATTTTCCTTCCCATGCTCTTCCCAACAGTTCATCCCCTAACTCTTCCCCCTTTCCTTCCTGAACTCCTGTTAACCCTCCTCTGTATCAATTTAACTCTGATACCGACTAAGTCATTGCTCCAGGATCTTCCTAATCATGACCATTGATCTCATACATCATCTGACTGATTATAGTCGTATTTTCTTCAGTTATCCTAACCTATTTTATATGAAGATTATTGACATGTCGAATAGGTATTTAATTACCAGAAAATATTTTGACCAGTTGCATAAATTGAAAGATGTACAGGGAGCAACAAAAACAGAGAACTAAATCAGCAATACAGGAATAGATCAAGTTCAACAAAAACAACAACGTTTCTGTTGAAGGGACTCTGTACTGTTAGGATATGCTGTCGTTTTGGAGGACCGTATAAGAAGCTTTGGTGTATGATCCACTGGTTTCATACCATTCAAACAGTTACTAAAGGATAATTTCGAATTGATTCTCATAAATATTTCTGTCATTTTTATGCATTGATGTTGATTTCAAGGTGCTCTCATTACAAAGAAACATAAAAATTCTCGAAACAGTAACGAGAATTTTTTCTTAACAGTGAAGCCTCTGCCATAATCATCTCCGTGATACTATCTCCATAAGATGTTCGTACATTCGCATAATAATCTGAAAACAGAAACATTCAAACACTCGTTCATGGCATAAAGCCCTTAAATTGTTCTTCAATATCTGCCTCCTTTTACAGACGCTTTACCATCAGACAATGAAACAAGTTTCCAGCGGTAATCAGAGAAAAATAACAGATCCATATCAAGTGGAATCAAATGTCCAGAGTCAGTGTAAAAGAAACCAGAGTGGGAAGCTAAATTGCGAAACGAAAGCTAAACAAATAGTTCTCCTCAAATCGAACAGTACTCAATCACTTTAGGCTTCTTGCTCAGCTGACCAGTTTTCTTGGGACATTAAACTTTAGGGCCCTGGTCCATAATCACCCCGCTACCAATGAAAATAGGAAAACTATTAAGGTAATACTTCTAAATGCGAAGAAAATATCTTGATAAGGCCAAGATTAGACAAGAGAAAATTCGAAGAAATAAACGACAATGGACATTCGATCCTGTGGTATCATGCAAATGATGGACTTGTCTACCAATGCACACTGCTGGACAAGTTACTATCTCAAACTACATCTCCACATAATATAGTTTTACAGCAACATGTTTTGCAGAACGATATAGTACCTACCTTTACGATCTGATCCTTGCCAGCAGTGAGCACCCAATTACCATTCTGATTCCATTTCACACAAAGCACGGTGTTCTTGTGACCATGGCTGAAAAAACACGAAATTTAGAAGACCTGATATCTGAAGACTATGATATTGAATAATAATAAAAAAATTGCTAACAATGAATGCAGCTCCCTTCCCGTCTTTGCATCCCACAGTTTCACTAGATTGTCTTTTCCACCTACAAAACGGAAGAGTGTAAACTAAAGGGAAAGGTTGAAGAACGTCAAAACAGTCATACTGCATGCGGCCATAAAGAGCACCTGAAACCAAGAGTGACTTTGTAGGATGCCAATCCACACTCTTAACATCCCAACCATGGCCTGTCTGACTCAAAGAGACAATAGAATAATTTAAAATTACAATATGCGTATTGTACATTGCTTCAAATGATCATCTATGGCACATGAAAAGAGAATCATCATATTCTCATGGAACAGTTTGATGCAACTAAACAAGAGTTGTTTAATTTTTTGTCAAGGAACAAGACAGGCATAAATTTTCCTTTGGCAATGACTCGGATAAAAAGATGTTGAGTAAAACTAAAAAGAATATTTTGTTTCCAGATCTTACGAAGGGCAACTAACAGAAGATAAAGCACTGATATCTGAGGTGTGAATAAACTTTAATTCTGTGACCAAACAGAGCGAAAGTTGTCCACTAAAAGTTCCCATAGTTCTGGAACTTATAAAAAGCGGCAATAATTACCTGTCAATGATCTCTCTTCCTGACATCTTGCAAAATCCCATACCTTCACTGTAGTATCATCAGAGCATGAACAGAATTTCAAATCTGTCCTACAGAAACTGCAAAAGAGAATTTCAGAGACTTGCCTATGGTACATTAGTACCCAGTATGAACAATCCGAATTCTTAAGATTAATTAATCTGGTAGCTCGACGCTAAACAGATAAGTGGATTCATACCTTAGGTCACGAACTGACTCTTTATGAGCAGACTTATTGGCCTTGACATTATTCATGTTACTTTGCCAATACCTAGCCATTAAAAAAGAATAAATTAAATGTTTAGGTAACAGAATTCACCAAAAAGCAAATTCCAACCCTAGAATCAAGCAATCGTACTTGATTGAACCTCCATCATCACCACTGACCATCCAGTTTTCATTATAACTCCAAACCATGGACCTGATGGCTTGATCATGTGCCTGGAGCATTAAAATTATCGATTGGATCATCATTTTTAACTAACTAACAAGTTAAGAAAAAAAGTGAAATTAATCATTACCATATCATACCTGAAGAATCATCTCAAAATTAAAAGATTGGCCATTCCAAAGAGTAAATTCCCCACTCTGTGACCCGGTGATAAGACGTCTTCCTGTTGGGGTCCACTTTAGGAGAAAACATAGTCAAGAAAAAAAATGCGGAATTATTAAGCTAATGCACCAGAAAATATTAAAATATTTGTTAGTCTATGAAACTACATATCAGGATATGTGACATGAAGCATCAAGTGTTAAATGAACAAAGCTAATGCTCTGAGAAATAACATGAGGTCTGATACACCTTACTAACTATCACTCAGAATAAGTTATTGCTTTCCTTAAATAGAGGGTTGTAGATCAATGCAAAAGGATGTCTGGATAGAATAATTAAGTCTCCAGGTGTAGAAAAATGCATTGGGATGATTTTATACTATAAATAAATGCATCTTGCTGATGCAGGCAAAAACAGATTGAAAACACTGAGGCTAGAGATTTCCCTAAATTGAACATCAAAAAGAAATTATTTGTATAATAGAAGATTTCACAGAGGCTACAGCTGGTTCTTAGAAATTGGTAGAAACTATTTTCTACCAGATTACTGAAAGGATGTCAACAGATGTGAGTTTGTACCAGCCGCACAAACTGCAACAAAACAACCAGTAGCTGGCGAAGGACTACACACGTAGAAAAAGTAAGTGACATGGAGGAGCTGAGCCCCTCGGATTTCAAGGAACAAATATTTTAGCCAAAAATTTCTCACAAAGTAAAAAATAGTTAAAATATATGCGTTCATAGAATTCCTTGCTTTCACGATAACGTCCCCATTCTGCATGTAAAACTTTTGAAATATTTTTCATCCCTCTCTCAATAATCCCTCTTAGGCTGATCAAAAAGCTGACAGTAATTTTTCTCTATTGATTTTCGACACTTATTCTGAATCAGTTAGCCACAAATTCGACATGAATACACTGCATAAGTAATACTTTTCATCCCTCTCCCAATAGTCCCTATTAGGCTGATCAGACAAAGCTGACAGTAATTTTTCTCTATTGATTTTCAACACATTCTGAATCAGTTAGCCACAATTACATTGCATAAGAAAGGTGGTATCTACTGAAATTTTATAAACGATATATTGAGTGAAAAAAGTCTTATCTACGAATAGTGCAATGAAAAGAGCACTGAAGTTATAACGGAGAAAAAAAGGTCAACCTTCGGCCAGCATGTTATGAAGTTATGACAGCTGAATTCCTTCAAATAATTTTCTGGAAATAGATAACTCTACAATCCTCAATCGACCAACATCTTCTGGAAATAGTATCTATGGCTGATTTAGAACATTCGTTTGGTTTACTTTAGTCTCTCTTACAAACATTGATTCTCCCTATGACACTCAATTTCTTAATCTTCCTCTCTGAAGCTTCGTTTCAAGGACCCAACATTCTACGCAAATCCTAACTTCTTAACACAATAAAACTTATAAATAGCAGAATGGCACAGTTAGCTTTACATTCGGAAGTTATCATGCTTATTCTGTGGTATAAATGGTTTATTCAAGAAAAAAAGTTCAAAGTAGTACACAGGAAAATAAATATTAGTGTTCCATACCAAGACTCTATTGATTGTACACCGATTTTTGTTAGTAGATGCATGAACGAATTTTGTGGCGAAGCTCGTTGAAGGGTTATCAGCATAAGCACATGTTGGTAGCATCTGCAAAAATACAACGAAAGAAAAAGCAAGTCACCAATGGAAAAGATTGGTTCCCGTCAAAATTCCGCAGGTTAAGACTTGGATTACCATTTCTTATCAACAGCACAAAAAGGTATCAACTTAAGACAACCTTACTATGGTTTCAAGGAAACAAAGTAAATCCATGATAAGGGGGGGGGGGGGAAGGGGATAAGGATTCACACCAAAACAACAAAGTAAAGCCATGATAGGCTTTCTAAGGTGATAAATAAACATTAGTGTTAAATCATAACCATTGTAACATTCTACCACATTTTTTAGCAGAAATATCTACAAGCTCACGACTCAAATCAAGTTTTGCAGGATAGGAACATATTCTAACATCTACAGAAGCAGCTGGAGTAGGTTGAAGCACAGTTCGATCTCTTGCATCCTTTTGCCACATTCGAACCTACACAATACAGGCACAAGAGAATGATATTTGCTTTTGATAAAACCTCAAAGTTGTTGAAACAAAAAATAGTAAAATATAAATTCAGCCAATAGGAAAAATCCAAGTACATAAATAAAAGATCTTACCTCCAAGTCTTCCCTGATTTTCTCATTTTACAGCAAAAATAAAAGATTGTTCTCTAGCAAACGAGCTCAACTCCCAAAGGTCAGACTATTCTTCTCAATCCATACTTACTCGAACACTAGTACGCATTATAACCCACCATACTTGCAGGCTATGTGCAGAAAGACCTGCCAAAAAATCCCTTTACTAGGGATATAGAACTCTAGACTTAACAGCCTCCTCCTTGAGTTTTAACATGGGTCAAAATATTCTCCATTGATTCTTAACATTTTAATTGATATCAAAATGAAAACCATATACATCATTTTTGGCCATTATAGAAATAGCTGCGCCGAGTATAATTCTGTGTCATATATCGTTAAAATATGATAAACGAATTATACATTTTCCTGATTTTTCGTGGAAGGCACAAATCCTTAAGTGCATAAGACAGAAGATTCATTTCCAGGAAATTTCCCAATGATTGTATACAGAAGTCGGCAGTATTGTGTCAAAATTTCGAATGCAAAACCATTACAGATCTCCAATTTCTAATACAAGTGTAACAAAAGGAAAATAGAATAGTCTTCGAGGCGCCATCAAATCTAAGATTGTTAGGCTTGCCAGTTTAAAAGATTGTTGGGTTTGCCGGTTTAGTGCTTGCCATCTATGTTTTTGCCAGAGTCATCATGTTCTCATTTGAAAATTTTCTCATTCATAGTAGCATAATTACCAATAAGAGATCTATGCTGGTTATCTTCCAACATGTAACATCGAATCCTAAGTAGTGCTGAAGTAGTTGACTGTGCCTTGCTCAAGACAATCAATAATATATCAAAACTTATGCACTAACAAAAAATCAAGTTAATTAATTTGTCATAAAGATATTACAGTCAGTGCACAAGAAATAAAGTTCTCCAAATAAAATCATAGAATTTTCTACCAAAAGGAGGCTAAATTAATGACAAGAGCAAGCAAATGAATGCATAGTTTACCTGTAGATACCGAACAACTGTGCTTGTATAATCAACAGCACGCCGTTGGACGAGCTTTCTCATTCTTTTGGCAGCATAACTATCACCGTGAGCTACAAATCAAACCAGAGGGGCAATTGGAGTTCATCAATGTGGAATTCAAAAGTAAAATGAGACATCCAAGTAGCAAAACAGTTCTCATTAGAGCATGTGAAGCGACCAACCATGTATAGGTATCAATCACATGATAAAGGGCAGAATTCTGAGCTATAGGAACGCCATTGGTCCTGTGAACTTGGGATTCATCATATGGGAAACCCAAGTTCTAACATAAGCCAATCTACAGACTAAATGACCTTGTCACAATCAAACGAGTTTCAATATAATGGTTAAGTGAACATTTATTTACGTTAAAATGGTATAAAATTGGTTTTTTAAAGTCCTTAAGTGAGTTTACAAGGCATTGCCTTCATTTGTTGAAACTACATGGTATTTCCTTCAAGACCTCAAAAGGTACGAAAATTGGATATTGGGGAAAAACTCAGAATAGTAAACTTTGACAGATGATTTGGATGGTTGAATGAATAGAGAAAAGGTGTCATTCGGATATGTTCAACGCAAAGGTTATCAGAAATCAAGCTGATTTATTTCTGTCTCATCAGTGTAATTTATTTGGGGAACACCATTTCCTTCGAGACAAATCAAATCTAGCCGCATAGTCTACCTTATTACGTGTATCCCAGTAATATTTACAGCTTCACACTTTACTGATTGTTGATATGAATATGGCGCATGATTTCTTCCATGCTTACGAGTTCGTTACCCTCATACAACCGCTTTAACTCGGCTAATCTTCATTGTATACTTTAACTTGGGATTAAAAACTCTGGAAACTCGCTGAAGGTCCAACCTCCAACGATTCAACCCCGTCCTTCGTTAAACTTCGATCATCAGTACCGTTAAGAACTACTTACCGTCTGCAGCCGTCAACATCTTCCCAGACATAATGAAAAAAAATGAAGATCCTAATTGCTACGTGGATACGCCATTTTACATCAAATAAGCATGGAAAAAGAAGTTAATTAGTGAAACATTGGCGTCGAGGCACACCGCACAAGACGAGCAGACACTTGCAAACTCGTCATAAAAGCCTAACATACTTCAGAAAAATTCCATAACAACACCAATTCAACCGCTCCCTCTACATGTACGTCTTGTCTCCCCAGTTACCTTCATAAGCAGCGCCGCCCCTCGGGTTAGGGTAATCCGGGGGGAAGTTGGCCGAGGAGGCTGACGATTGCCTCATCGACGGCGGCCCCCGGTGGTAATCACCACCTTGATGCTGCGGCGGCTCGCTGTACATCATCCTCCTCTCCTGATCACAGAGCCCTCGGCAGCGGAGGACGCCGCCCAGAGACGGAGAGGGAAGCCCAGTGTTCTCAGAGACCGCTGAGGCTGCGCAACAACACTGGAAGTGGGAAAGGAAGAACCCCCTCTCTCCCCGACCCGAAACGCCAATCGGTTACCACGGACCCGGTAATCGGATCCGATTAACAAACCCACACGGCGCACTACTATTTATATTAAATATATATATCGTATTGTTTCATTTGAGCTATGAATTGAATATCAGAAAGTTGGGTTGGTTCACCCCCATGGTCTAGGTTACCACATAAATTTTTATTAAATTTAATTTATCTAGGAAAAAAAAGAGTTTTGGAGCCTTTAGGCCGAGTGTTATTGGGTCCATAATAAAAATGAATATATAATTACACACGTGTATATTGATTTCATATCTTGTATATGTATATTGACTTGTCAACGTTAGTTGAAAATTAGTAGCTCTATCTATTTACCCTGGATGGTTTAAGTAATAATTTTTTATATCTTGAATAATGTAATTTTTTCAATGATCGTATAATATTTAATAAAAAATAAAATAATATGTATATATATGTTATTATTGCAATTTTATTGAATAGTGGTAACACATGATTGGTTACCCCCCATGGTTTAGGTTACCACCTTTTTTTTTTTACATTAATGTAGCCTATTTAGGATTAAAAGAAGCCTTTTGAGCTTTTTAGGCCGAGTGTTATTGGGTTCATAATAAAAAATTAACGTCTAATATATATTCCATCACTTTTAAATGTATATTAAATTTCACATGGGAATTGAAAACTGGCACCTCTATCTATTTACCTTGAATAATGTTTAATTTCTTCAATAATCATATCACATGAAAGGAGATCAAGCACATTATCCAAGCTATTACATAGTCAAATAATTTATTTACATACTATTTGATCCAATTATAGTTGTGAATCGAACACTGGCAACCAAAAAAATTCTCTATCTATGCAGTTTATTTAGGAATGAAAATAAAGATTTTGTGAACCTTTTTGCCTGAGTATTATTGACTCTATCACACAAATTAACATATAGTTATATAATAATATATATATATATATATTGATTTCATCTCGTAATATATGCATTTTTTTACCTTAATGGTTCCTGTAGCAATTTTTTTTTATTAACATGAATAATATAATTTCTTCAACAATTAAATAATATTCAGGGAGCTTGGGGTTATTAGCCGAGCATTGGTGGGGCTATAAGAAGATCTGGCATCTGGGCATTTAAGCTTATACCCACAAAAGCCAAGGATCTCAAAAATATCTGGGCAACATTCCGGTAACTCCATAAAAATGATATGATAAACAAACCTCTTTAAGATACTTTTAAATGGGGAAGTAGGAACAGAACCAATCAGACAACATATATACAGGGATTTACCACACCAGGCTCACCCGTATCTGATTTCTTATGTAGCCATGTACAAGTATTGATCTGATGAATGGGAAGCAAGGAGGAAAATGGCGTGTGGATCACCGACTGTGGCTTCTTTATATGAGTAGAAAATCAAACCAAGGATGGGTGTCCTATGTTTATCAGGTGGGTGGGGGGCAGACAGAAGGAGAAGATATGAATGGCAATATTAATATCTATGCTCCTTGGAGCTGATATTTCCCTGCAACCAGCTTCGCATCTGACCCATGGTTGGCCGCTTGTTGGCCTCCTGGCAAGCTGCTTGCTGTTCATGGAGCAGCTGCAGAAGGCAGAAATGGAGAGTGTAATGTCAGATGAGGCTTGTTCAAAACCCAAAGATAAACCAGGAAGTCAGTAGCTGGGTCTGGTGTCTACATGGCCATAAGATCGTATTAAGGTGATCCTTTCCTATGTCTGGAAAGGCCCCTAAGAAGGATGAACACAATGCATCAGGGAAAAAAAAAAAAATACTACCAAAAGAAATTGTTCACATTTCAGAGGATTCCGAGTCCTACTTGAAGAATCTGTCAAGAAACAATGAGTTTATCGGCTCAAATCATGGGTCAACATGAACACGAAATCTTAAATCTCCATCTGGTGATTTGGAATCCAAGATTATTTTCCACATAATTTGGAACGATAATCAGCCAAAAGGTTTTCATCCAGCCTTCTGACTTTCAGAGGAAAACAGTGAATGATTTCAGAAGAGAAGGCACTTGGGTTCTTCAACTGAGGCGCTGACTTCTAGTCCTAGAAACATACTGGGAAAATTTACCATAAAGAAAGGAATGATCAGTAAACATAATCATATAAATGCAACCACATTTCATGTTAGTAGATTTTTCTGATCCGACCGGATACTATGACAAGAAACATGGAGAGCAGAGAAAGACCAGTTCACAAATTAGGTCCTTCCCCTTTTAGGCAGGATACCTACGGCGATGGATTCTCCCTCGATGCCACCATTGGGAAAATCTATGCAGACAATCTACTAAGAGTAATCGAGATTAAAAGATTAATAGCGACGGGAAATTCGAGGAGGAAGGGAAATCAGAAATGAGACCTCGTATGGAATGCAGGCCGCCGGAGAACCAGTTTCGGCGAGGTTATCCGACGGGGAATGGGCCGATGTCGCCGCTGCGGAGGGCGCGGGCAATCTCGTCGGCCACCATGAGACAAGACGACAGCCAACCTTGGAGCACCATCCAAACCACTTCTGCCATGTGAAAGACCAGCCTCCATGGCATGGCCATGCCCGAAGCAGAAAACGGAACAAAAACCCTACACGGAACAAAGAATCAAAACCCCCCCAAAAAGGGGGAAATCCTCCGATCAAACCCTAATCGCCCCGCTGTGGCCGGAATTTGGGGTCAATCTTCTGACAGAAATACAACGAACATCTTCACGGGCTTCCCCTTCATCTTGCAAGCTCTCTAGGGTGCAATTCCTCACCCGCTTCAGCCTGCCTCACAAGCTTTCAATCCGTCTCGGCCCTCCTCCTCCTCCTCCCCCACTCTTGGGCGCTGCTGCAGTAGCCAGGTCGTCCCAATGGGAGATCAACAGCACCAGGGCTTCTCCTTTGTAACTTTCCCTTGAGACCGACGAGCCTGAGAGAGGGAGGGAGAGGTCTTGCGCTGGGCGGTTTAGCCTTTAACGTCATATTATCTTTTCGAAACCTCAACAGGTATAAAATTATTGATAGGTGCCTAGGTTTATCTTTCACCAGGCAGCCTCCATGAAAAAAGACGCTGAAAGTAAAGGAGTTTATTTATTGATTAAATATTCTGCCGATGACCAGAAGGGTGATTAAATATATTGATTAAATAAATTAAAGGCAGCCCCCATGAAAAAAGACGCTGAAAGTAAAGGCGTTTTTTCATTTTTATAGAGTAAATGATTAGTATGATGCTGAATTAACGAATAATAAGTCAAATAAATTCCCTTTAGAGCTGATGAGAACCGCCAACATACGAACATTATTATTTTTATATTTTAGTCCAATAAATTTTATTTTTTGGAAATTTGGTGGGGTTCTCTGCCCATCCATCTTCAGCATCGATTTTAATTAAAAACTGTGATAACTGATAAATATATATTTTTATTAAATGTCATTAGGCCGAAATGGCCGCGAGCGTTGGACTTGAATTTTTTTCATTTTTCTGAATTTTTCTGGGACCTAGTATGACTTGTCGTCTCTCTCTCTCTCTCTCTCTCTCTCTTTCTCTCTCACACACGCACAAACTCTCTCAATCTCTCTCCCTCTCTCTTTCTATCTCTCTCACACATAACTCTCTTTCTCTCTCTATCTCTCACACACACGAACTCTCTCCCTATTTCTTACTCTCTCTCACACACACGCACACACGCACGCACGCATACACGCACACACAAACTGACTCTCATCCCTCTCCCTCTTTCTCTCTCTCTCTCTCTCTCTCTCTCACGCACATTCACACAAGCTCTCTCTCTCACACACATTCACACACTCTCTGTCTCTCTGATCGTTACAGTGCCGGGTGTCGCCGGAGAACTGGTAGCCATATCCTTCGTGCTCAAGCAGCAATGGGTGGCGGGGTGAACTACGCTGTGGTGAGCAGGCTCCACCACACGGCTCTTTCCTGCATCTTCATCTTCTTGTGTCTTCCTCGTGCCTTCGGCTCATCTCTCCATCTCTCTCCGATCGTCTCCCTCTCCCGCACGCGCGAACGTGGATCATCAGATCGACGCCTTCACCAGGGTGCCGTTCAAGGGGAACCCCGCGGCCGTGTGCCTTCTGGAGGGAGGGGACGCCGCCGCCGGTGCGAGCGATTCGTGGATGAAGTCCGTGGCGGCCGAGTTCAACATCTCCGTGACGTGCTTCCTGGTGCCTGTCACCTTACCCTCGGAACAGTCGGAGGGATCCCCGATGGCGGCGGCAGCTGTTCCTCGGTTCCACCTCCGTTGGTTCACCACTGTCGATGAGGTAGAGCCTCCCCTTTCTAAACCTTCTTCCTCTCGCTCAATCTCGAGAATTTCCTCAAGAATTTACAAAAAAATTACAAAGATTCTCACCAATTCCATAATCGGCTCAAGAATTCATTCGCGCTCTGTGTGTGTCTAGATTGCAATCATTGCTTCGTAAGATTATGTCGTTTGGAGATAACTCAGATACCCAAATGGATAGCCTGAGAGAGGCAACAGTGGGCAGTGGATAGGCCTTTGAACCATGAATAAGTCGCAGCCATAAGTTCTGTGATTATCACGCGGGAAGAAGAAAGTTCAGACCGTGGGAGAATAAATCATATTGACCTTAGCCTTTAATGAAGGTATTTTCATCCTCCGCTTTCTTCTATGTTGCCTCAGTCCCCTTGCCCACCACTCCAAAAATGGTGATCCCAAGTTGCTGTTAGTGAATAGGAGAGACAAGGGAGTAGGAAAGCAAAGATCACTGAAGCCGAAGTAATTGCATAAAATTATCTTTTCATTAATAGGGAACCTTCACTTTTCGATTAGGAAACTGCTGCATGAGACTCAATTTTTCGCCTCACCCTTCCTATAGGACTCGTTGAGACCACTTCATCCGTGCATTGGACAATTGAGTACTTTTAGTGGAGGTCCACACCTGTACTCACCGTGGTGGACAACCAGAGAGAGAGAGGGGGAAAAGAAATCTTGAAGGGCTATGATGCTGCGACGAGTGAAACCTACCAGTGGGAGGGAGGTGAATTATTTCATGAAGTCTAAATATTTTAATCTAAAGTAGATTTACCAGAAAGTAATGACAAACAGTAAAAGGATGTATAATTTTCGACAATTCACAGACCTACTACACCTATACCACCTTTGCGATTTCCACGATGTTTATGTATTAAACTCTTAAATATTATATTCTCATTGATGCTCATTAATATTTCATATTGAATTAAGTCGAGCTTATTACCAAGGTGCCTTCTACAATTAATAGTAAAGGATGCTCACCTTGGAACTTGAGTTTTAATGTGGAAGATGGAAGTGATATCCTTCTTATTTATTGCCTTTCTGATATTTTTCCACCCTCTATTAGAGTCATACTTATGACATGAAATTTTTTTCTTTTAAAATAACTATATTTCTTGTTCTTAATATTATTCTATGCATTTTCTCTGTTCACATCGATGCATGTTAACACTTTTACCGATTAGTATTGACACTTTAATGAGTAGTTGAAGTGATGATTTCAAATTTTGCGCTTGTCTTCTATTTCAATTTTTCTGTCATTGACCCTTATCCATCAGGTTTTTGCGGTTTTGTTTTTGCTCTTTTGTAGTTTTAGCAGTTGTGGACAGTTTCAATGAGTTTAGTTTAGCTGTCAATACTCTCAGTGTTTTTTCTGCATCAACCCTTTAACTTCTAGTGTTCTACCAATGATAAATGTGTCTGGATGAGCTATTTGTAGACTTGAACAATATGTCCATTTTTGATACTATAAAATATTTTAAATATATACAAGTTATTAGTCTTTTCTCTCTCATTTTGTGAAGCAAAGTTGGAAAAATTACCAAAGATAAATAGAGATTGGACAGAGAAAAGAAATCTAGAAAAAGGTAATATCGAATGGGTCTAGAAGGAAGGAGGGCCTCTAGAGATGCTGAAAGCAGCTGATGAAGCTTCTAGAGAGAACACTTGAGGCAGAGAAAGAAATGGAAAATGGAGATGGTTAGCGTGTGATTGGAATAATTCTTAGTTTAGAAGAGTAAATTTAGCTTAGTACTTAAGTAGAGGGCAGATGGGTGCAATAAAGGCTCTATATGTTGTAAATAGGGAGTTACTGTGGGAAGGGGTTGCTCCTTGATCTCTGTTACCAATATGTGCATTGTTTTCTTGTATTCCATGTTGCTTTCTGCGTGTTGTCATATTAGTCCAGGAAGCTATACGAAGGTTTCTTCTTCCTCTTTCTCTCTGTATATGCACACGCACACACACACACACACACACACACACACACACATACTCGGCTTTTGGACTCTTGACTTTTCTCGGAATAGAACTTGAAACTAGAATGGTCCAGGGTCTCGTCAACCCACTCTTGTCCAGTAACCCCGAGACACTTGGAATACTAACATCAAATCCGTTAGTATCTACAATGCCTTCGGCTATTCTGAGGGAAGCTCGATCACAAGATATTTCAAAGCCTTTATTCAAGCAATAATACAAGAATGAACTTAGGATGATGTAAAAGGATGACACCCAGACCCCTCGGGGTCATGGTACCTTCAAGGCATCATTTTTGTTGGCGAGTATCCTTGTACTCAGCTGGGCCCTAGCCAAAAGGGGTGGGCCAAAACAACACGGCAACGATCAACGGTGGCTCCATACCGGGTGTGATCGGAGTTGGATTTCTTGAATTTTATGAATTAAAGGAGATTTTTTTACAAAAAAAGCTAAAAGGCCCAAAAGGAAGGATTTAACCCATGTGGAAGAGGCCCCTGGTGGGGGCACCCTTGAGAGTTTAAAACTCGACTTTTTATTAAATTAAATCGAGCGATAAATCAGGTTTTAACGCCACCGGTGCAAATCCGGTGTATATGTGTGTGTGTGTGCATATATACATGCATAGGTGTAATATATGTATGCCTGTCTCTCTATCCATCTCTCTGCAGGTATATATCCATCTCAAATTCATGTCAAAGGATTAGTCCCCTCATTAACTCATTTAGAACAAGGAGATGACGAAACATTGCAAGCAAGATTCCAGCTGAAGGATGGATCTCTCATGTCATCTTTTCTAGTATTACATCTTTTCTGCCTTTTCTTCTTTGTACTCTTCTCAGCCCTATTTTGATCTCCAGGCAAAATTTAATGGGTAAACTTATTCATAAAAATAAAGATAGAAACAGAATACAGTCAGATTTCTCATAGTTGGAGTTCATTGTCATGACATTAATTGCAAAATCTGGAAATTTGCTATTTATCTGAGTTGGCATTTTTATTAGCATCTTATCTTTCACTATGTCGATCATCTTTTTCAATATGTTATGAGATTCGGACGGTTCACAACCTCAGTGTGTAATATAGAAATATACTTCTAAGCAGATATGGATGGAAGAAAACTGAATCGTATTTGCCTACATATGCAGGTTAATCTTTGCGGACATGCAACCCTGGCTTCTGCACATTTTCTTTTCACGTCCAGTTTCAAAAAATACAATGAAGTTGAATTCATCACAAAATCGGGAATATTGAGTGCTAAGAAGGTGTACGGACTTGAGCACATGAACAGCTCGAAAACGACTGCCACTGTGAATGGGGAGCAGTTCTCTATTGAGTTGAATTTTCCTCTGATTTCAGTGGTTGAATGTGACGACACAGATATCCCACTGATTTCTGGAACATTGAATGGTGCACTGGTGGTTGACGTAAAGAAAACAGCTGGAGATGACCTCATTGTACTACTTTTTCCTCTTTCATTTTCTGCTTAGTGATTACATTTTCTTTAGTTCCCTTTATTCTTCCATTGTAGATGCATACTAAAGATGCTACTAGTTTTTATCTCTCTCATGCAACCATGGAAAACATTTTTTGTTGACTGAAAGTTTGAGGCTGTGGTATCAGAATGGGAGTCCCTTAAAATAACACGTAGGCACACAGATAGAAGCGTGGTCATATTTACTTGGAGGTGGATGATCTTGTTTATTTTTTTGCAGCTTTGTACTACTTTTTCCTCTTTCATTTTCTGCTTAGTGATTACATTTTCTTTAGTTCCCTTTATTCTTCCATTGTAGATGCATACTAAAGATGCTACTAGTTTTTATCTCTCTCATGCAACCATGGAAAACATTTTTTGTTGACTGAAAGTTTGAGGCTGTGGTATCAGAATGGGAGTCCCTTAAAATAACACGTAGGCACACAGATAGAAGCGTGGTCATATTTACTTGGAGGTGGATGATCTTGTTTATTTTTTTGCAGCTGTGGATGATTAATAACTCTATGTATTTCTTGAGAACATCATGTCTTTCAAATGTAATGGAGGAATGAACTGTTGGCAGGTAGTGCTTGCATCAGGAAAGGACGTTGCTGATATAAAACCACAGTTTGAGGAGCTCAAGAGATGTCCCCGAAGAGGGGTTATTATAACAGGGCCTGCACCAGAAGGGTCCGGTTTTGACTTCTTCACTCGCTTCTTCTGCCCAAAGTTGGGTGTCAACGAGGTGAGCATTTCGACGCTGAGGACATAACCAGACAGAAGCCCTCATACCTGCGATTGTTTATCTCCAGATACTTACTATTATTCTTCCTTAAGGATTTGGCCCAGCTTTCTCGTGGAACCTTCATATAAATGCATCACAGAGATGCTATACTCCTGATAATCACGTACTAAGTTCTCTCCAGCTTCCTCAATCTATGAGAACAGAACATTTTCCAAGAGCTACGAATGCACTATAATACCTTTTTTAATGTTTCTTTTTAATGAATATAATTAGTGGAAATGGATTTACTTGAACGACATATTGGGTCCTTAATTTACTGTGCTTAAATGTTGAATTTTGTTTTATATTTCTGGCTTTACTTAATGTTCTTGTCTAGGTTTCTGTATGTGATTTATAGGAATATTTTCAATTTTAATGTACTTAAAATTCCCTAGGTTACGATAACTGTAACCCTTGGGTGATACAATGAAAGTTTAGGTTTTGTGAAATTTAAACTTAGCTGGAATTCTTTACCCTGAGTCACGTGTTTGATGGGTCATGGAGACCTAAGGAACCAGATAATTTTCCTTGTCTTCAGTAAAATTATTGGCCCCAGTAAGAATAATGATCATTAATGTGTCAAATAGATATTTTATGGTGTTAGATGAGAGGTTGGATAAACGTCTAATCGTTTCCCTTCTATTTTTACTTGAAATCGGGGTCTACTTTTCAAATTTCAGTTGCCAGAAGGGCCAGAGTGAACTCAGTCTGGTAGTAAGATAGCAAAGCAAGCCATCTTAGGGTCTGTTCTACATGTTCCATCACCGATTTGAGAATAATATAGAACTTTCTAACCTACCTGTATTTACGTTTCTCAAAATTTTGACCTCCCTGAATTTTATGCAGACGTATTATTTTATTTGTTTCTACAACTTTTTATTTCAAAATCGCCTTCAATTCGATCGCCTATTTTATGTGTGCCCTTTTCTCTTGTTAGGATCCCGTCTGTGGAAGTGCCCACTGTTCATTGGCTCCCTATTGGGCCAGAAAGCTAGGAAAGAATAACCTTGTTGCCTACATGGTACTCTCCCTCTCTCTCTCTCTCTCTCTCTCTCTCTCTCTCTATGTCTTTTCATGAGAGAGGTCGATTGGCTGATGATACATGTTCATTTTTGTGGATGTTATTTGGCTCCCTAATAATGAATGTATTTGGTTTTCCTTGCATGAACCAGGCTTCTCCTAGAGGTGGAGTACTGGATCTAGTGTTAGAAGAGGAGAAACAACGATTGAGGATACGAGGACAAGCGGTCACAGTTATGACTGGTACTCTTTTGTGCTAGGCCTCCGGTCATGAAGTCTACTGCTGGAGGTTAGATCCGATTGATTTCTTTTAATAATAATGTGGGATCTGGTCATTGGTCTATGACCGAGGTATTGATTTGGAGGAAGGTCTGGTTTCTGCTACTTCACCACAGTTGATGTTCAAACTTTTATCTATTGACCTTTCCATCTTGGATGCGCTTGTCTCAAGATCTTTACATGACAATGAAGTACAAATAATATAAGAACTTTTATGCTGTCCTCAAATGGAGTTTCTTAAACAAGCAGGCCTTCTCGACATCAAATCAGACTCACCCACAAACTTTATTAAAGAAAATATGAAGAGTTAGAAAGTGTTAGATCTCTCTCTCTCTCTCTCTTTCTCTGTGTCCCCCCCCTCCCCCTTTGTATAAGTTATGGATCTCATTCTCATGATATATTGTTAGAGGTAGATTCCTTAATATACTCTTCCTATTCCTCAGAATTGTTCAGTATTTTGAAAAAGTTCTATTTCTCTATTACTTCATTTCCATTTACCCTTTTTTTGTTAGGCTTTTTAGGTGTGCTTAATTGCCAGCTTTGTTCTTCCCTTGAATATCTTGTGGCTTTAATTGCCACTTCTTTTTATAAATTTCTGGTTATTTCTCTCGGAAAATGTCTGATATTTTTTTGAAGAAAATGTCTCCCTCGGGAGTTGTCCCGGATTTCCCATCAATGAACTCAAGTGGAGAGTTTTAAAGTATCAGTGCCACGTACCGCTTGCATGGAAAAAACTGTCTGCCATGGTCAATAAGGGAAAAGGAAAGACTAGCCACTTTGATGGGATTGGTCTAAGTGAGGCTGATCCTTGATTCTGTGCATAGGATGGAGACTCGACAGTCATGTCCTGGAATAGCATCCAATGCAGTAAAGAGTGGTAAAACAATTATTCCGCACAGTGCAGAACATTTGAGTGACACTTCAAACGACAGTCGATAAACCCAGATGTTGCAATGATTTATGATTTTCATGGCAAAGTGTCATATGCAATACGGGGCTGTCTTTTTATTACTAAATTCTAGAACTATTTTGGATGGTTCTCAGTTTGAAATAGATCATTATCAAGATCTTAGGGTGAAGTGTGTTTTATTCAGAGAGACGAGACTTTTTGGTGTCAAAACTGTACTAAATATGGAATATGGAATATGATCAAATAAGAATTCAAGTTTAGGAAAGGATAGACTGCCATCCCTTAGTGGGTTTTTTTATCATTTGTGTAGAGAAAACCAGGAGAAATGTTATGCTTTAGAGACAAACATCTGAAGGCTCTGTTATGACGACCAAAAAGAGTGTATGTTGTGGAGACATTAAGAAATGGACTCTACAACATAGGAAAAGCAAGGTCACTGCCTTAGAACAGTTCCGACCAAGAATAGATTGTGGTGCTTTTGCTGCAAAATGCCTTGACAAATCAGAGATAATTGCTTCAAACTTCATTGAAAAGCTCAACTATTAGCTAAGACTGGTGGATTCAAAGGGCAATGATTAAACCCAGTCAATCATGTTAATGAGGGTACTTCTTGAGATAAACTACCTGTCACCGGGGAAGAATTCAGCAAAGAAGTCACTGAAAGGTTGAAAGAAAGGCTTCTTAACTCTCTCACCATGACTTGTATTGTGTTTATTGGGTGAAAACTGTATGTGTCCTATTTCTTACTTTTCTAAAGCTTCCAAGTCTGTATACTCGAAATCATGGGTCATAGATTCTAGTTTGACAAACCATATGACCCAATATCCAAACAAATTTGAAGAGTATATATGATTGAAATTTGAAATCACAAAAAAAAAAGGGTTTGTTGATAGATCATTTGCTTTAATTCCTGGTCATGGTAACACTAAAGTTAAACCTGCTCTATCATTACACAATATCCTACATGTTCCTGAATTAACTACTAATCTTCCATCCATTCCCAATCACCGAATACTTGAATCGAATAATTGTCTTTTTTTGATATCCATTATGCATTTTGTGACCATATAGGAAGAAGATTATTGGATACATTAAGGAAAAATAATGGGTTGTACCATCTGAAAAGTATTAGAGGTGAGTTAGATGAGCGAAATGAATTGTCTCTCTGTTCATCTTACTTCACTCCTCTCTTCATACCAATTCAAGTTTTAGCTTCATCATTTAAGGCTTGGCCATCCCTCTTTTCAAGCTCTCTGAGCCACGTTTTCTTCACTGTTTCCAAACAAAATTTCGGTTGATAGCTTACATTGTGATGTTTGCAAGTTCAATACAACATTGT